CTGGGGAGCAGGGGCGATTGGATAGGGGATGGGTGTCGTGGGGGGATGGTCAGGGGCAGAGAGCAGGGGTGTTTGGGTAGGATGCAGGAGTCCCGGGGGGCAGTCAGGGGTGGGGAACAGGTGGGGGTTGGATGGGGGCAGGGGCCAGGCCACGCCTCACTGTTTGGGGACACATAGCCTCCCCCAGCCTTCCCTACCCAGCTCTCCATACAATTTCTATACCCCATGTGGCCCTAGGGCCAAAAATTTTGCCCACCCCTGCTTTAGCAGGTCGGAATATGTAAATAATAATAAAAGTGTCTGTGTGTGTTTGTGCACATTGTAGGTGGCCATAAAGGAAGCTGTGAATTAGCCCAGCCACAATGCCACCTTTACTTACATTGAGTAGTATGTTGCTCCACAAATACAGTATATTCCTGATTATCCGAATAGCTTGGGGGAGATGGACATGGATTTTATTCGGATAATCAGGAGTTTGGATAATTGAGAGGGCAGGAGCCATTCAGTAGCAGGATTTCCTCCCCTGCATCCGGGAGCTTGACGTTGTCATCCTTCTAGCAATGCCCCTCGGGGGTCTCTGCTCTGTTATCCAAACTTCCACATTATCTGAGTCCCTTTCTTATCCCGCACCATGAGAGAGCTGCCCTCTGCAGCATGTGTCTCATGCTGAGGGACAAGGAAGGGATTCAGATGATGCAGGGTTTCAAATAATAGGATTTCAGATAAATGGGGATATACTATAGACCCATTGATTTTCAATGAGGCTACTCATTGTGAGAAAGGGTGGCAGAATCTGGCTCTGTACAGTTACAATTAAGACAATCTAGCTTTTATGGTCTGTGATCAAAAGTAACTGGCTGGTTATGGTAGACCTGGATAGATAAGACTATCTATTAGGGCACTGCTGGGGATGCAGGTAGTTTGGGTGCCTGGCTTGAGACGTGTAACTTTGACTTTGCAGTTCCTGGCATTCTAATCTTGGGGCAGCTTGTGCGGATGGTGGTGGGTTACAGTAACTCCTCGCTTAACGTTGTAGTTATGTTCCTGAAAAATGCAACTTTAAGTGAAACGATGTTAAACGAATCCAATTTTTCCATAAGATTTAATGTAAATGCGGGGGATTAGGTTCCAAGGAAATTTTGGGGCGGGCAGACAAAAGGCATTATATACCGTACTGTACTGTGGTTTGGAAGTGCCCCTGGCTTACCCCACACAGGCACAGCCCGCTGCAGGCAAGGACACTAGGAAGCACCTTCCCTGCAGTAGCAGTGGCAGTTTACCCGGAGAAGAACAGGCACCGACTTTGCCAGGGGATGCTCCAGGCCCGCCTCTTCCCACTCCCACTCCAACTCCTCTCCAGAGCACGCTGCATCCTCACTCCTTCCCTCCCCCCCCCGAAAGTCCAAAGCACTGGGCGGTGGGGGAAGTGCTGGGAGGGAGGGGGAGGAGGCAGAGAAGAGGAACTTGTGCAATGCTCCCTTGTAAAGTCGCTGCTCTTCTACAAAATCTTACAAGCGGTGGACAGAGCAGGCAGCCTAACGACGTTAGAAGGGAGCATTGCACAACTTTAAACGAGCATGTTCCCTAATTGAGCAGCAACGTAACTTTAAAACAACGTTAAGCGGGAGGACGTTAAGTGAGGAGTTACTGTATTTTGTTTTTTCACTTTACCATTTTTGAAAAGCACTGTTATGTCAGACCACTGATATGTGTCTGCAACCGTAACTCCATCTTAATAAGGGTTTTGAGAGGGATTTCCTTAGCTTGGTCATTGGACTGGGGAATGGAAGAGATAGGTAAGGGGGTAGGGGAGCTTTGTCACCCTGGCTTCCTGAAGCCTGCAGGAGGGGACCCTCACTAATCTATACCTTCTGTGAGTCTTGAGAGGGGAGCCTCTCTCTCGTACGCCTTATAAGATGCACAAGAGTATGGGAATCAACTGCTGGGAGAGGCATGTGGTCTGGTGAGGAATCTCAGGTTTGTGGGTCCATCATGAGCCCTAAGACCTATGGGGTGACTGTAAGGGAAAGGGGCTACAGGGAGCTTTGGGGAGAGTGGATTTATGCTCATGGCTTTTGGGGAGGGGGCTGCAAGGAGCAGTGAGGGCGAGGCAGGAGAGTTTAGCACTGCAGAGGGAAGGAAGGGGAAAGTACTTTCCCTGGCTTATGCAACAGATGAATCTCCTGTTGTTTACAGCAATGCGATTTCCTGCTGATGAACCACAGGTGGCTTGTTGGGTGAAAAAGGCAGTGAAGTGCTAATTCTAATGCTTCCTGCTTGACTTCTCCTCCTGCTCCTGAGTATCCCACTCCTCACCAGGATCCTGTGCTCCTGGCAGCACTCCTTCCCCCAAACATTTACGCCTCACCTAGTCCTCATTTCTCCCATAGGCCCTGTTCTCCCCCTCATTAGCTCCAGCCAGAGACCTGTTGCCTCTCAGGTCTTCATGCACCTGTGTCCTCTCTCCTGCACTCCACCCCCTAGAAACCTCATGATTTGGAGGTACAGCCTGCCAGTCAAAGGAGGAGTCCAGGTGTGGAAGGTGCTCATGGGCAGCTTGCATGTAAGAGTCATTGTGGGGTGCACTAGCATCTTCACTGCCACCTCTACCTGAGGAACCTCCTGTTGTTCATCAGAGAGGAACCACAGAGCATGATCAGAGAATCTCTTGAGGTCCACGAAGTGGGAGTGGAGCTTGAGGGGCAAGGGGAGGAGATCAGTGGGGGCATTTCCCACTTCCTGCAGGAAGGGAGAAGCCCCCATCAAGTCTCCTCAGCCCCAGCTCAGGAAGCTGACCATGCTCTTTGCGTCCTCCCCCTTGCCTTCACAAACCTGTAATAGCATGTATGAGGGTCCTCAGCCCCTTTGCATGCCTTTTGTAAGGACAAAGTCTCATTTCTGTTGACAAACCTTCCAAGTCACGGAGTCATGTGGTGTGAGCTCTATCTGCATAAGGAAAGGGACTAGAGACTAGTTTGTTAAACACGGCCAGCTTAGGTCTTCAGCATTTGTTGTGATGAGCTGTGCACTGAGGTCACCAGAACTTATATTCCTCAGCAGTGTTACTGAAGACAATGTTAATTGCTCTGGTAATTTGAATTTAATCAACTACATTTTGCTCCGGGGAACTAGATCTCAGCTAAGGGAATCCATGCAAGTCAGTTAACTTGCCTTTTTTGGTATAAAGTGGGAAACAGACAAATATCATTAGAATACGTCTGGACTTGTGCTTAACAGCTCTAGTTTAGGGTCTCATAGTTCAGGAACAAGTTGTCAGACTTGCTTCAGATTTTATAGAAAAAAAGAGCTAATTTACATGTTTTGAGAACAATATACATAGAAGGTCAGGCTGAAATCAGGTTTATAACAGAAACTCAGTTGCTCTCTTAACTATGAAGCAACGGCTGTCACTCTGTTAATGATTCAGTGCTTGGTTCATCTTCTCATGTACAGCTGTAAAATGTAACATTACAGTTAACAAAGTTATTATTTTATTAGTACAACTTACTGTAGGAAATTTTGCTATCATCATTCAAAATTTCTTCATTTTCTGAGACATTTCTAATGTCACTGCACTTGTAACAGTGACTGTTGGAGATACTGCTAGTTGATAATTTAGTACATAGAGAATTTGCATATCTCTTGCAAAAATTAGGTATAGTTACTTAATAGAATTTATTTACTGATTTCTAGAATACTCATTTCTGAGTACAGAATCTGAGACGTAGTACAAATTTTAAACAAAGTTTAAAACAAAACTGTGCCCAGTGCCTACAAGAACCAGAAGCTCTTACTAAGAGAACAGTGCAAAAGAACTAAAACCAGAAAGGAAGAGCTGGTGCCCAATAGACAGTACAATGTTGTGCTGACCTAAATAGAAAGACTTAGCTCTGAACCCTGGAAATCTGATGGATGTCCTCAGAGAGGATGATCCATAGACAAGGTCTCTGGTCAAAAATGTCCTTATCCCCAGAGGGGAACTTGGGATGGTGAGCGCAAACAATGCAAGTAACCTCAGTTTTCTTGGAGAGACAGAGGGATATGATAAAGTACTTCAGGCCAGCACTGTGCTCTTTGGAAATGTAGGGTCAAATCCAGCTCAGGCCAGCACAGCAAATGGAAGGAGACATGTAGGCTACTGCATTCTCCTTAATCAAGGAAAGACTATCTAGACCTCTTCAACAAATCGTGAATAATGCTGCAAGATATCATCATTCCACAGGAGCCTATTGAAGGGCCACATCATGAAACAGTCCTGTCGTCTTAGTTCAGTATATCATCACTGAGAACTCACTGCACCTTGCTGCACACTGCGTATTTGATTATCTTTAGCTTTCCTTCTTTCTTTTTCTTCATTCTCCTGTTAAACAATGGGATAAGATGTATTTACAGATTGATTATGATAATTTATACATCTTTTAATAACCTGGCTTATTTTCATGGAAGTTTGTGGTTTTCCGCTCTTCCGTTGCCTTGTAAACACACATTGTATAGATGTACTCCATCTCCTGTTACTGTGTATCTTTTGAAGATGACTTGACAGACAATCTAGAAAAAGTGCAAACCACTAGTTATCAGTGCGATTGTAAAATATGTGTATGCATTAAAGACAAAGAAATGTATTGATTAAGCACTACGATAATCTTGACAGTGATTTTGTTTAAAACGAGTGTACTTACATGCTGAACTGTTACCTGTATAACATTAATGCTGCAGATGACAATCCAAGGGAGACAATTTGCTGACATTTGGCACCAGAGAAACCTGATTAAAATATTATTTCCATTCACCAAAGCAATGTTTTAAGTAATAAAATCTGTTAGAATATGAAAATGTTAATAGAAAACATTTACCTACCCAGCAAGGTGTTTGGAAAGCACGCTGAGATCTTTGTACTAAAAGGTGCAATATATGAGTAAATTAATTAGTAATAATTATTTTATTGCCTAGTGGATGAAGAAGTGATTGCAGTTAATCTTGAAGGGTTTATTTCTTTGCAGCCTTTGAAAATGCACTGCAAGAGTTGTGCACTGGTAACCAGTTCTGGACACCTCTTGGGAAGCAAACAAGGCAACAGAATTGACCAGACTGAGTGTGTAATACGAATGAACGATGCACCCACTCGAGGTTATGGAAAAGATGTTGGAAACAAAACTAGCCTTCGAGTCATTGCACATTCTAGTATCCAGAGAATTCTGCGAAACCGGAATGAACTGTTAAATATGAGTCAAGGTACTGTGTTTATCTTCTGGGGTCCCAGCAGCTATATGAGAAGAGATGGAAAAGGTTTGGTTTATAATAATCTGCAATTGATGAATCAGATACTACCTCAATTAAAAGTATATATGGTTTCTCGGCACAAGATGCTTCAATTTGATGACCTCTTCAAACAGGAAACTGGCAAAGACAGGTGAGGAAGTTTATGTGGGTACATTTGGGGAAATTTCCATAGCTGAAGAATAATGGCATTTAAACTCATCAGCTTCAGATTAACTCAGAGGGAACTTCATGCCCCTTAAATGTGATTGTAATATGATTTTACGTGCTAAATAACACTTAGCCTTTGTAACTTAAATCAAAAATGTGCATCAAAATAATTTGTATTGAATATTTTTCCATTAACTTATAACACTAAAAACGTGTGTGTTGAATACAATCAAGCAAGGGAATTGCAGAAAGAAACAGCCAGGAGATGGACACTGCGTTTTACATCTCACTTTGGGGTAATAAACCTGAAAGCAGTTTTTTACTGGTTTTGAAAAATAAGAATTGATAGGTTTTACTTTCTTATGGAGGAAATGCTACTGTTTTGTGAATTATAATGGCTACTTATTGAATTTAAGCATTCTTCAACATTGCTGCTGTAAAGCTTCCTGTAAAACAAATACACACTTTTTTCATATATTAGGTGCTTCTGGACAGTTCATCTGCCATTTACAGCTGAGAAAAAAGAAATTGTTATGATAGATCTTTATGAGACCATCTGTAACGTATAGACTGATCTTTAAATGAAATTTTTAATAAGTGACCACTGCACGACTGGAGTGTTTTTGTGCATAATGTAGGTAAATGGGCTTTTAAGCCAAGGACATTCTCAAGAAAAATACATTTGTTTTTATTTTTATGAACTCATTATATTTGTACATATTAAATATGCAGCAGTAAAAATGGTACAAGGTCCCCACTTCAGTACAAACGAAGAGGTGAGTACACAGTGCAGTAAATCACTGTGAACAGTTTTCCCCACCTTGAAACTTACTACAGAGTCCAGTCCATACAGCTGGTTTTAGTACTGGGCAACCACAACGGATGTGTCCTGTCTTCCAGGCTGCAGGGCAGGGGCAAGGCAGAGTCACTCCATAGCAGATTATTGCTCCTGATTGGTTGAAGGAACCGTCTTTTGGTTCTGTGTTTGTACAGCACCTAGCAGAATGGGGGCATGGTCCATGACTGGGGTGCCTAGGCATTACTGCAACACAGATAATAAATAATAATGATAGGTAGCTGTCCCTACCCTTTAGAAGCCCACACTGTAAGGTAAAGGACCACTGCAACCAAGATACACTGTATCCTCTGGCCCCAGCCTACCTTGTGTATTGCCGGTATGAGCATAATGTAACTATGTCTAGGCCTACTTGTTAAAGATCCTCTCTCGGTTCGAAGTGGTGGCAGGGCCTCTCTTCATTCACTGTAATTGCAGAGGGAAACAACAGCTGGGGGAGGTGATCTACCAGCACAGAAAAAACTCTTCCCTCTCTTAGTTTGCTCAGCCAGAGCGGAGAAGAAGGGGAAGCTGACAATCCCCAGGGAATTGATCATTTAATACTTTTTTTGGAGGGTGTATGGAATTAGCTGCATCCCCAGTATACAGCGGAGTGAAACTTAACAGTAAGTATAATGAGGCTTCACTGTGGGCTAGATGGGGTATTTAGGCTCAGGCTCTGCCTATAGGGCAGTGCAGTGCTGTATTCTCCCAGTCACAATACTTCCCTTGGCCCCCTCTTGCTCTAGAGAAGGTAAGATGCAGCACCCCTTTTTGAGAGGCAGGCTACTTCCTGCCCTGCTATCTGGCCAGCTCTGCTGGCTACACATGTGGGAGGGTGGAATCATGCCTCCTCACTTGCAGTGGGGATATCAGGCACACAGCAGGGATCTGAGCAGGCTCTGTGTGTGCACAGAGTGAGGGCTTTTTACACCTCTGCAGTCACATCTGCTCAGAGCATGGTCTTGTCCTGTAGGACAAGTGAAAACCTGAAGGAATTTTGTCCTTTAATTACCCTATAGCTGAGTTTATTGTGAGCCCAGTTCCGGGCACCTTCCGCTCCCAGTGGGAACCAAGGGCACTGGGATCCTTGTAGCATTTGGTCTTACAAACAAGTTCTGTTGGTAATAAGAAGACGCGCATGCTCCTGTAGAAGAAATGCTCCTTTAGAGGACACTTTTGACCTACTTGAAGGACTAAGAAGATTAAAACAAGAGATGAAAATAAATGAAAAGGCAGCACAAACGAAGGAGGAAGGAATATGAAAGGAAACATAGGCAGGAAGGAATTTGTAGAGAAAAAGACAATTACAGAGCTGTGGTTGCAGGAACAGAAAACTGTGTAACCCAGAATCTTCTCTACTCAGTGTGCTTTTTTTTTTTCCTATTGAGTACTACTGAGTTATTGACTGCAAAAAACAAAGGGGGAGAAATCTGATTGCAAGGAACCAATAATCAAGCCATCCATTTCTGTCTTTAGTATTATGAGAAAAAGGATAATTGGATGTATTGTGATTTATAAAAAAAGGTCTGATTTTTAAAACTGAAGGAGAACCTTCAGAAAATGTCATCAATGAAATAGTATGGCAAATGACAGAGGCTGCAGAGCAATATACTTTGATATTACAAAGTAACTGTACTTGAAAATAACTTTGTAATTGAATAAAGGGTACATTAAGAAAATATGATTCAGAACCAATATTACAGTAATTAGATAAAGGAAGCATAAATGAAATAACTTCAGGAAGAGTATTTCCACAGAGATTATAAATGAGATTTTGGTGGAGCAGAAAGGCCTTTAATTGTAATTTAGTGTGCACTACAGAATTATCAGCACAATGTGTTAGTTCATCATAAAAAAGAATATCTGATAATTCCCCCTAATAAGCACATGACAGCTCTTCGTATTCTTTCATTACAGCTGATTAGGAGTAAAAACAGTAGATATTCTTTTGTAGGACTCTTGTTAAAATCTTTTATGAAAAGGCAAGACAATGTAACCCTGTTTCTATACTGTAATACTGCAGAGGTGGCATTTAGAGAGATGGAAACATTAACAGTGGTCCTTGAACAGGTTTTCAGATTTAAATTCTTCATGCTCGTTGATTGTCTTGTGTTTAAAGTTTGTTTAAATTCCTTTATTTTTCCTATTTATTGAAACCTTGAGAGTTACAGTAACTAACAAAATAATTGTCTAACTGAAAAGGGCCAGACCCTTCTGACAGATGCCCTGGGTTTTCTGGGCTGTGCAAACCCTAGACGTTGGGGGAATCTTATCTGTTGAGAACAATCTATTCCCCCCCAAATCTCTCACTTCTGTGGCATGCAAACAAATTCTCCTCCATGGGTCCTTATCCCTTCCCCCTCCACCTTTGAGCTGGAAAATTATTATTTGTATTGCAATAGTGCCTACAGACCCCAACTGAGATTAGGGCCCCATTGTGCTAGGTGCTGCATATACACACAGTGAGAAACCAGTCCCTGCCCCAAAGAGCTTACACTGTAAATAGACATGGCAGAACATAGGGTAGGAAAAAGGAAGTATTACTATCTCCATTTTACAGATGTGGACCCAAGGCACAGAGAAATTAAAGGTCAGATTGAGGCTGCTGTCTTTACTGTTCTCCCATAGCGGACAGGTCCATTCCTGAGGTGAGTCAAGTAGACTAATTTATGCTAGCCATTAGTCTCCTCATCAGTAGTAAGGGGTGGAGATTAATAGATGGCATACATGGTTCCTTGGAAGCCTCAGTAATGAACCTGAAAGTCACATAAACACCCAAGAGTGGAATCAGGTATGCCCCTTTTAAAGACTGTCCCCAGTTTACAGATGTTCAGTTAGCCAGAAAGGAGCCAGGCACAGGATATCTGGGTTAGGATATCTGGGTTACTCCTCAAATGGAATCCCACATTGTTGTTCAGAGATGCCAGATGCCATTAATGACACTCAGGCTAGGTGGAGTCAGAGTCTCTGATCTTGTGCAAGAGGTGTCATGTTATGGCTAATGGAATTTGTGTGGGGGGGTGGAGGGTGAGAAAACCTGGATTTGTGCTGGAAATGGCCCACCTGATGATCACTTTAGATAAGCTATTACCAGCAGGACAGTGGGGTGGGAGGAGGTATTGTTTCATATTCTCTGTGTGTATATAAAGTCTTCTGCAGTTTCCACGGTATGCATCCGATGAAGTGAGCTGTAGCTCACGAAAGCTCATGCTCAAATAAATTGGTTAGTCTCTAAGGTGCCACAAGTACTCCTGTTCTTTTTGCGAATACAGACTAACACGGCTGTTCCTCTGAAACAAATGGCTTTAGTCATTGAAGAAAGGAGACTCCCTGCTAAGAATCACAATTAGAATTCTCAGGTATGGAACACAGAGTAGCTGAGGCACCTCCACAGACCAGCACTTGCAAAAGCTCGTTTTGGCTGGATTGAGCTCTTGGGATCAAATCCTGGTCCCACTGAAATTCTGTGTATATCTACACAGCTCTCGGCAGTGAGTCTCTGGGGTCCACAGAGCTGGGCTAGCGCTAAAAATTGCTGTGCAGAAAGTGCTTTGAAATTGCTTGGGTGGGAACGTGCTCGAGTCCCGTAGCCACAACTTCAAAGCCCTGTCTACACAGCTATTTTTAGAGCACTAGTGCAAGCCCCGAGCTGGGAGGCTTTGCTGCCACAGGCTATGTAGACATACACAATGGGACCAGCATTAGGCTCTAAATGGCATCCTGTGTCGCCATGCAGTTGGGTGATGGTTTCCCTTAAGCAATTATCGATACAGGGCATTTTTCTGGTAGTTAACTAGTATCCGAATATAAACACAGGCTTGGAGGCTGCAGTTGCCTAAGGTAAATGTCACAAAAACATTAATATTTCTTTGCCCAAAATTAATGACAGCAAAAGAGGTGTTGATTGCCCAGTTTTCATAACCTTTCACAAAAATGGAGAAAACTGCCCAGAAATTACTTTAGATGTTTCAAGAATTATTTGTCACCCTGGAAACTTAATTATGTTTTTACTTTTAGGAAGATATCCAACACTTGGCTTAGCACAGGATGGTTCACGATGACTATCGCATTAGAACTCTGTGACAGGATAAATGTTTATGGCATGGTGCCACCAGATTTCTGCAGGTAAGATGTATTTTGGAAGCATTATTTGCTAACCAGGCTGAACATTGGAGATAAATATTGAAATCTTTAATTTTGTTTCCAAGAAACATGTCTACGGTCCTCTAGAAGCAATTAATTAACATGTCCCAGGATCTGGTTCAAGAAACAACAAACAGCATTTAATTCTGTTATATAAAATATTAAATGTTTTTGTTCATACAGTGGAAGAATTAATCCATCTTGTTGGTGTCTTTTAGCCTTTGAATATTTATCAGCTAAAACTAATGCAATAATTGGCATGAAATTAATCTGGAAAATATTAGTTTCAATCTTCCTCTGAAGGGATTTTTCATTATAGAAGGAGGGAAGCTCTGACAGTTTGACTAGTTTCTAAACTGAACTATTTATGAAACCAAAATTAAGATCCCAGTTCCCCTGACATGTAAGCCCTACACATCTGGAAAACTGGCTACCTATATTACCCCCACAAAATCTGAATTTGCACATGTAAAATGGATGGTTAATCTTGCTATTAGCTATCTTGTGAATGCAAATTTCGTTTGCAGGTGAAAGACACAGCACTCAGACTTTTGCCAGTGAAACTGGCTAGTGTTAGAAAGTTTGGTAACAGGTGTAAGTTCAATGAGAGGTAACTTGCTACAAAAATTGATATTGAGCCATTTCACAAGTACAGTTTATTTTTGGCCACATTCAGTGCTCATATGCAACAAGGGGAAGGGATTCAGTACAACTTTTCATCGCTCACTCCCCATTTGAACTAGTGGGTACTTCATAGAATTTTCTGCTGCAAACTCACTGACTTCACTGAAGTCTAGTTTATCAGTAAAATGACTTTCAGTGGCAAGGAAAGCAAGATTACAGAGATGGGTTGGCTCATTGTATCATGGAGGTAGAGTTTCTTTTGTTTTAATTCTTTTGAGCATTAAAAATGACCATTCATGACCTTGCATTTGTGCTGACCATGAAGAAGTAGCAGCTTATTGACAGGATCTTTACCATAGGCAATGTCAACACCAAATTGTACGTGGTGAGAATCTTTATGTATTTCTAACAGAACATTAGTGACTGTAACTTGAGCTGTTGCTACCAGAGCTCCCAAATTTCACAAGGAGCTCTTCAAGGAAGGCATCAGATGAGATGAGATACTACGGATATCAGACATAAACAACTTCCATTGCACTCCGCCTACTTGAGTTTCCTGCCAATTCAATTGGATAAGACCTTCTTCACTTCCTACTCTAAAACTGTAAAGTTCCTGGCACCATTATGATGGCTGCCAGGTCCTAACCCAGAAGTGGTTGCATTCTGGTGGTAAGTGAAGCGATCCCTATGAATTTATAAGTCATAAATCTGTGTACCACTTTAATTCAGTGTAAAGTAAGACAACCCCTTTGAGGTTTGTTTGTTGGGGTCCATGCATGTAGATGGGAAAAAAGAAGGGCAATCCCTGGTCCAGAGAGCTTAACATCTTCACTATGACTGTGTGTAAAATGTTCCTAAGAATCAGTGTACTGTAACAAAGTGGCATAATATTAAATTATAAGACACTATAATATTTACTACTGTTTATATAAGAACACAAGAATGGCCATATTGTGTCAGACCAATGGCCCATCTATCCAGTATCCAGTCTTCTGGCAGTGGCTGGTGCCAGATGCTTCAAAGGGAATAAACAGAACAGGGCAATTATCAAATGATTCAGTCCTGGCTTCTGGCAGTCAGAGGTTTAGGCACACCAAGAGCATGGGGTTATGTCCCTGACCATCATGGCTAATAGCCATTGATGGACCTATCGTCCATGAATTTATCTAATTCTTCTTTGAACCCAGTTATACTTTTGGTCTTCACAACATCCTCTGGCAATGAGTTCCACAGGTTGACTGTGCATATGTGAAGTAGTAGTTCCTTATGTTGGCTTTAAACCTACTGCTTATTAATTTCATTGGGTGACCTCTGGTTCTTGTATTATGGGAAGGGGTAGCTAACACTTCTCTATTCACATTCTCCACACCATTCATGATTTTATAGATCTCTGTCAGATCCCTCCTTAGCGCTCTCTTTTTTTTCAAGCTGAACAGTCCCAGTCTTTTTAATCTCTCCTCATATGGGATTCCATACCCCTAATCATTTTTGTTTCCTTACTTTTTCCAATTCTAATATATGTTTTTTGAGATGGGGTGACCAGAACTACACACAGTATTTGAGATATGAGCATACTGTGGATTTATACGGTGGCATTATGATATTTTCTGTCTTACTATCTATCCCTAGCCTAATGGTTCCTAACATTGTTAGCTTTTTTGACTGCTACTGCACACTGAGTGGATATTTTCAGAGAACCATCCACAATGACTCCAAGATCTCTTTCTTGAGTGGTAACAGCTAATTTAGACCCCATCATTTTGTATGTATAGTTGGGATTATGTTTTCCAGTGTGCATTACTTTTCATTTATCAACATTGAATGTCTTCTGCCATTATGTTGCCCAGTCACTTAGTTTTGTGAGATCCCTTTGTAACTCTTCACAGTCAGCTTTGGACTTAACTGTGTTGAGTAATTTTGTATTGTCTGGTTTCAGAGTGGTAGCCATGTTAGTCTGTATCAGCAGAAAGAACGACAAGTACTTGTGGCACCTTAGAGACTAACAAATTTATTTAAGCATAAGCTTTCATGAGCTAAAGCCTACTTTATCAGATGCATGCAGTGGAAAGTACAATAGGAAGATATATATAGATAGATATACAGAGAACATGAAAAAATGGGGGTTGCCATACCAACTCTTAACGAGACCAATCGATTAAGGTGGGCTATTATCAGCAGGAGAAAAAAAATGTGCAGTGATAATCAGGATGGCCCATTTCAAACAGTTGACAAGAAGGTGTGAGTAACAGTAGGGGGAAAATTAGCATGGGGAAATAGTTTTTAGTTAGTGTAATGACTCATCCACTCCCAGTCTTTATTCAAGCCTAAGTTAATGGTGTCCAGTTTGCAGATTAATTCCCGTTCTGCTGTTTCTGTTTGGAGTCTGTTTTTGAAGTTTTTTTGTTGAAGAATTGTGACTTTTAGGTCTGTAATGGAGTGTCCAGGGAAGTTGAAGTGTTCTCTGACTGGTCTTTGAATGTTTTAATTCTTGACGTCTGATTTGTGTCCATTTATTCTTTTGCGTAGAGACTGTCCGGTCTGGTCAATGTACATGGCAGAAGGGCATTGCTGGCACATGATGGCATAGATCACATTGGTGGATGTGCAGGTGAACGAGCCTCTGATAGTGTGGCTGATGTGATTAGGCCCTATGGTGGTGTCCCTTGAATAGATACGTGGACAGAGTTGGCAACGGGCTTTGTTGCAAAGATAGGTTCCTGGGTTAGTGTTTTTGTTGGGTGGTGTGTGGTTGCTAGTGAGTATTTGCTTCAGGTTGGGGGGTTGTCTGTAAGCGAGGACTGGCCTCCCAAGATCTGTGAGATTGAGAGATCGTCCTTTAGGATAGGTTGTAGATCCTTGACGATGCGTTGGAGAGGTTTTAGTTGGGGGGCTGAAGGTGAGGGCTAGTGGCATTCTGTTATTTTCTTTGTTGGGCCTGTCCTGTAGTAGGTGACTTCTGGGTCCTCTTCTGGCTCTGTCAATGTGTTTCTCCACTTCAGCAGGTGGGTATTGTAGTTCTAAGAACGTTTGATAGAGATCTTGTAGGTGTTTGTCTCTGTCTGAGGGGTTGGAGTAAATGTGGTTGTATCTTAGAGCTTGGCTGTAGACAATGGACCATGTGGTGTGGTCTGGATGAAAGCTGGAGGCATGTAGGTAAGTATAGCAGTCAGTAGGTTTCCAGTATAGGGTGGTGTTTATGTGACCATCGCTTATTAGCACTGCAGTGTCCGGGAAGTGGATCTCTTTTGTGGACTGGTCCAGGTTGAGGTTGATGGTGGGATGGAAATTGTTGAAATCATGGTGGAATTCCTCAAGAGCTTCTTTTCCATGGGTCCAGCTGATGAAGATGTCATCAACGTAGTGCAAGTAGAGTAGGGGCGTTAGAGGACGAGAGCTGAGGAAGCGTTGCTCTAAGTCAGCCATAAAAATGTTGGCATACTGTGTGGCCATGCTGGTACCCATAGCAGTACCGCTGACTTGAAGGTACACATTGTCCGCAAATGTGAAATAGTTGTGGGTGAGGACAAAGTCACAAAGTTCAGCCACCAGGTTTGCTGTGATATTACTGGGGATACTGTTCCTGATGGTTTGTCCATCTTTATGTGGAATGTTGGTGTAGAGGGCTTCTACATCCATAGTGGTCAGGATGGTGTTTTCTGGAACATCACCAATGGACCTGACGGTTTGTCCATCTTTATGTGGAATGTTGGTGTAGAGGGCTTCTACATCCATAGTGGTCAGGATGGTGTTTTCTGGAACATCACCAATGGATTGTAGTATCCTCAGGAAGTCAGTGGTGTTTCAAAGATAGCTCGGAGTGCTGGTAGCGTAGGGCCTGAGGAGAGAGTCTACATAGCCAGACAGTCCTGCTGTCCGGGTGCCAATGCCTGAGATGATGGGGCATCCAGGGTTTCCAGGTTTATGGATCTTGGGTAGCAGATAGAATACCCCTGGTCGGGTTCTAGGGGGTGTGTCTGTGCAGATTTGGTCTTGTGCTTTTTCAGGGAGTTTCTTGAGCAGATGGGGTAGTTTGTTTTGGGAACTCTCAGTGGGATCAGAGGATAATGGCCTGTAGAATGTGGAGTTAGAGAGCTGCCTAGCAGCCCCTCGTTCATATTGTGACCTATTCATGATGATGACAGCACCTCCTTTGTCAGCCTTTTTGATTATGATGTCAAAGTTGTTCCTGAGGCTGTGGATGGCATTGTGTTCTGCATGGCTGAGGTTATGGGGCAAGTGATGCTGCTTTTCCACAATTTCAGTAAACTTTGTCTCCTCACTGTTTATCCCTTTTTCCAGATCATTTATGAATGTGTTGAACATCATTGGTCCCAGTACAGACCCCGCTATTTACCTCT